AAGACCTGTATGGAGGAGTGGGCCAAAATCCCTGCTGCAGTGTGTGCAAACCTGGTCAAGAACTACAGGAAACATCTGACCTCTGTAATTGTAAACAAAGGTTTCGGTACCAAATATTAAGTTCTATTTTTCTATTGTATCAAATACTTATTTCATGCAATAAAATGGAAATAAATTATTTAAAAATCTAACAATGTGATTTACTGGAATGTTTTTGTAGATTCTGTCTCACAGTTGAGGTGTACCTACGATGAAAATTACAGATCTGTCCATTCTTTGTAAGTGGGAAAACTACAAAAACTTATTTGCCCCACTGTATATATTTAGAAATTCATAATCTATCATACCCTAAGAGATTATCCGGATCTGATCCAGACACAGTTTGTGTTGTTCTGGACATCTTTTTTTTTTTTTTCTTTCAAGAGACCCATTTGTTAGCCACTGTTGTGCCTTGATTAAGGTACACGCGCTCTCTAAGTGCAGTTGGTTACGTAGGCTACGCCTGCACACCTACCGTAATTATTGAATAATGGAGTGCAAACCTAAATGCCCATTTAGTATGTGGTTTACGGTATAAACAAGGAAGTCGAAATGTTCAATGCACAAAATCAGACTGACTTAGCTCGATAAAGCTGCAGATTGGAAAAAGATGAATTGTGTCTTTATGATTCATTTATTAACAGAGTTTGACAGTCGGCTTACCCTTAGCCTGACAGCGCACACGGAGCGAGAAGCCGCACTGACTTTTGTGTTGGAATAACCGTGGTGCGTTTGAATAAATCACAGAATGTGTTTGTGTATATACATCTACGGGCACTAATACCTGATGTTCTTCAGCATGAAGAGTTTTCAGAGCCATAGTGAAGTCGTGACTGATCTTCCCCGTGCTACAGATTCCCCACCGAGTTGCCATGTTGGAACTGATCTGACAGGTCGTGTCAGCAGTGGCTGCTCTCAGCCACAAGGTGGAGACACAGTATTAACTTGGACAATAGGAGTTTTTAGCACAGAAATTGCATGATGCTGTGGTGCTGATGCTGATTTGTGCTAATAGAACACAAATGTCTTCAAAATGATCATAAGACAAGCAACACCAGAATAAATTGTCTTATTTTTTCTTCTTCCTCTAAGTGAACCTCCCCACCTGAATTCAGAAGGGCCCACTTATATGTTATTCTTCTTATTGAAATTTATTTTAAACCTACACTTTTCTATTTCACTGTTGGTCTTTTACCTTTCTCCCTCCTAACTACTGTGCATTCATGTTGCACTGGCATTTGCTTTTCCATTAATGAATAAATTAATGACAAAACAACCGATTAGTTAATGAATAATAGTCATTTGATCTTTTATCCGATATTACTGATTTCTGCATATTTTTACCAGCTAAAGTATCATAGCATTGTGCCTTATGTGAGGTAAACTGACAATTATATTGCTTGAAATTGAATAAACTCTTTATTAAATAAGTAAATGAAATAAGTTAAGGTTATGGTACAGAAACAGCACAAAATATACAGAAAGAAATATTTATTTAAGCATTTATAATTTTATACTTTTTCTTTTTTAGAAAATATCTGCACTATTCATTAACCAAATCCATGAGACAGATTCCAATATGTAGCCTAAAAGGTGGAGAACAAGTGTAATTGAGCCATACTCTTTGCCAACTCATGAAGCTTTCTCTGTCCTAACCTTGAAAAGCAGACAGTGCAACCTATTTTTGTGTTGAGAGCATGAATCTATTTGTACACCGCTGCAAGGGTCATACATGACAGGACACTGATTGAAATGAGCCGCTCGAAGTCTCCTTCTCGCCAGCTGATATTTGAAATAAAACATGGCTTTTGCAGTCAGTCCTCTATTGGATTCATCAATCACACACCTCACAGTGACAGCTGGGGTTTCCTGTAAAGGGCCGGATGGTCTGACACAATATGGTTGCTTTATTTGTTTACATTTTATGTATTTGGTTTAAAGCATGTTTTCAACCTGATTATTTATACAGTATCAGTATAAGTTAGAAGCTTAGAGTATTTGTCTTGCACTGTAATTTGGCACTCATATCTGTTCACATTGTGACTATGAGGTAGAATTATTTATCAAGGGTGTATAGAAATGCTAAAAATATATACATAGTATTAACAATTGCTCTGATATGATTGGCAAGTGCACCCACGTGGCTCCATAATTTACATAATTTATTGATTGTATTTTTAATGGCAGCTCAAAATGTCATCCACAAGTCACAGTTGCTTCAGTGACAACAAGTCCTCCTGGCTCTGCTAAAATTTTGTTTGAGTGATCTGCTTATATCAAAGATCCACCATGTGCCCTGAGCAGCACCCTTTGTTCCATCTGAGTAGGTTTAGGTCAGGTGAGAAGACTCAGCTTTGGAGTAATGTCACTAGCTGTCCTGGCCAGAGACAACTCCCGCCTGTTTCCTCATTGCATCCTCTGTCAGTAAGACAGAGTCTGCCCATCTATGGGCTCTTCCTAAGTCCTACAGTTGAAGAGACAGTTTAACAGGACAGAATGACCACAGTTTAATTATGCACATTAACAACAAAGCATAAATTACTGCATGTCAGAGCAGGGAATAAAGATGAAGAGTATGTAAATTTACACATGAAGCAAAACAAATAGTAATAATAGCATCATATAAGCTGGAGAGCGGACCAAGGCATATGTGTATAACTATTCATTTAAATTGTTTTGTAAAGTTCCAGTACTGCAGTAATATCACTAAATTTCAGTGTTTTTCATTCAAACTCATCTTACCTTTGAAATGGCAGTTTGGGATGTTCAAAAAGCTTCATTCTTCTAAAGACAAGTACACAGCTCCCCTTTTACCATGACCTAGCTTTAAGCAGGCACTGCCAAGTAAAACCTGGTGCTGGTGGTGAAATTCAGAGGGACGCACGGTTCAAGCTGAGGGCATTTCTTGTTGTTCGCAATCAGTGTGATAGAAAACTGTATGGGGAAAAGAACCTAGAGGGCAAAAAGGAAATGCACTTTTGTGTTAATCCAGTTACTCAACTCATAAAACATCAAACACAGTAAATCTTTGCCTGAAATGCTTCAGTTTAATTAAATGTGAAAGTAATTAGAAGTCAACTCAGTCATTTCTTAATTAAGCAAACTGTTCCTGCACAGGACTAGCATATTTTAATAGAGCCCTTTGTGCTGCTGATGACAGCATTGTTTGGAAGTCAAGCAACAAGTGAAGAGGCAAAGAAGCTCATCCTTGTAAAAGGGTGAGCAGCAAATGAATGAATGAATGCTAACAATACTGCTGTTGAGTTCAGTTCAAATCAGTTTTAAGGTCCAGTAAGTTCATTTCACTTCCATCATTTTAATGCACTTTCTATCAGCACACTTTATTTAGGTCAGTTCAGTTGTGCCCAGCTAACTGGTGTCACTTTTTGATTACAAAAAGAAATATGAACTATGATTTTTGTTTTTAGAAAATTGTCAAATATGTTTTATAAAGCTAAGTAAAGATAAGAAAAAACTCTTTCACATGTATAGTATGATGTTCTTACTGAGGAATAACTAGCTGTGAGATATTTGGTTACATGTTCCCCTGCCAATTTTACAGTATTACTGTATTCTCTGGGGAGGATTTGGATTAGTCTGACATTTTAAAAATAAGTGTGGGATCTTCTGTGTGAAGAATTCTTCCCGGAGGCGTTTACACTTTGAACAGTTCACTAAGTTTCTTGTGTTACACAGAGGATTCGGCTTTTCTTTTATTAGCAAGCAGTTTCAGTGGCCAGGTTTTGATCGTGGAGTCATGCCGTGCGGTTAATGATACTAATCTCAGTCTCACCTCTGCTACCTGGCCTGCATGCTGAATCATACTTGAGTCAAGGAGCACCCCTGTGGACTGGATAGACTCTGGCCTCTCAGGGTTGAATAGGTGGGGTTGTTATGAACCATACAATTTCCTGTCCTGGAAACAGTATGTTCCTTCATAGCTTATGCTAAGGTAAGTTAACAAGATGTTGTTTGTAGCCTTATATTTATCGGGCAAATATGAGAGTGGTATAATTCAGCTCCTGGCAACAAAGTGAATAAGAGGATGTTCTTAAATGTCAAACTACTGCTTTAAGTATTAGCATGAATGTGTAAGAACAAAAGGAGTTTTGAGCCGCTCCTTTGTGCTTTCACAACCCCACATATTGCTTCTTAGATGACTTAGGAGCAACAAAACCCAGTTTTTTTTCTGCATTTTATAAATTTGCATTTTCATAATATACTACAGAAGAAGATTAATATTCTCTAATTATTACCTTCCAGTTACCTTCCTATTTGAAGCATCAATTCTTCTTCTATTTTGTTGTATTAGTGGTATACCTAAACCTGCAACAACCCCTACTGCCAGCAAGTGGTCACTATGTACATTCATGAATCCTTTCAACCTTACCTCTGCCAAGAAGACATTGTTGCTCTTGGCAGCAACAATGAGGCTTTTCACCTCTCTGGAGTTCACTGTGAAAGGTTTCTCACACAACACAATTTTTCACAGCCTTGAGGAACTTTAGACCAATGCACTAGTGCTCTGCATGCAGCACTCCCAGGTACATGATGTCTGTGAGATCACACATGTTCCAGACTCAGCTTCAAGCTGTAACACCAACACATTATTATCCCTGCCTGTACAGCCTAGCTCTTAACTCACTAGTGTCTTGGTCCACAGCCAGCTCCTCATAGCTACCATAAGCCTCAAGAATACTATGCTTCTTGGCAAACCCTTTGACATGCTCCCAGCTCCTCAGTGCAGTCACTGCTATGTGTACGTACATAGGAGAGAAAATCACAGAAATGCATTCATCACAGTTTTACTCAGCAGCTATGTTGCTATGTATGTTCAATGCAATGCAGACATCCGGTCTGACAGTGAAGATGTAGTGAGTTTGTGTGAATAGATCTTCACAGAGGTTGCCATGTTGAACTGGATGACAAGTGACAAATGAGCAGGGTGACGCTTTGGTAAAGATCTGAGCTGCCGGCAAGTTGTGACCTTGTGAACCATTGCACACTCAGGGGAAGAAACATACCAAACCGTCATATCGCATAACCTATGGTATTCCTCCTGGCTCGTGCATTTACATGCTAGAGAGGCAGGATGTGCCACCTTCCTTCTGCTCTCACCCTGAGGTAGCTGGTGTGACAGGCACACAACTTGCTGTGTTGTTGCCATTGTTTGCCTTTTAATTAAGAGGGAAAGGGTTCAAATGTCTCAAACAATCTAAAACAGGAACATCATAGGGCGCTTTCCCATCTTTAACACACTGAAGGGAAAGTTCACAGTTCGATGTGTACAGGCCAAAGTTCACTAGGAGCTCCTTTGTTTCCAATTGAGAGAGGTTCTGATTAGCCTGCAATGGTGTGACACCCGCAGAGAAGCGATTAAACTCAAGTCTCATAGCGTATGCTGGGATAAATACATTTGCTGGGTTCACGGAATGCTCACAGGATGACTATGGACAGAGGACACGGTGTTGTCAGAGGAGTTTACCTTCTCTCTCAGGTTTTGTGGATATGGAATGGCTCATTGTAAGGAATTATATAAGGGGATGCAAAATCAGGTAAACCTTCCAGAGGTCATGTAGCATTACTTGACGAGTAAAGAAAAAGCAGTAAACTTATATGTCAGGATAGTTACATATAATGACAGTAATTCACCAAATATGTGAAATTAAAATTTTTTCTGTCTTATAACATACTGGATATACATTTAATAATGCTATAAATTTGTCAGATATTCATTATCTTGTCCAGTCATTCTAGTCTTGAGTATGTGTGTTTTTCTCATTTCCTGCATGGTGACTGGATTTACTTGAGAACTTAATGTCGGTGTTAGCCACATCCCAATTATAAAAGAAAAGGAATTTTATGAATGACTCTCCTCTGCTTCCCTTTTGTATTTCACTTCCAAATGAATTCTGGGAGCTGTG